GTTCTCACCATATGTTGCTCCGTTCTCACCCGTCTCGTGCTCCTCCTCTCCCATCGCCTCCTCATTCATCCCTTGTTGTGTCTCAGCCTCCGCTCTCTGACTTTCTTCGTGCAGCTCGTCCTTTTTTCCTTCGGGTCCTCGCCTCTCTTATTACCGACCCGTCCGTTCCTGTCTCTAGTTTTGACGCTCTTATCGCTGCCGTTACTGACTTTGCCTCTACCCGCCGCCTTGACTATGCCACTGCTCTGGTCGCTGACCATGCCCGTCCTCCGTTCATTGGGGGTGCACTTGCCCTTGGCACTGACGTCCTACATAATAGGTTGTATGAGATACTGTAGCTTTCCTGTCCGAGGCCGGTCCTCATCTCTCCTCCATGTTGCTAGTCCCTGAGGGTGACCAAGATGCCCTTAACATACCGACCCCTCGCACTGACGCTGAGGCGACCTTTAGACCCTGGGTCTCTCATTGGATAGCTGCCATGGACAAAGATATGGCATCTTGGAGATCCACCAACACCTACGTCGATGTAGTTCCCCCACCTGGTATGAACATAGTCGATGGACGGTGGCTCTTCAAGGTAAAGCGCCCTCCTAGAGAGCCACCAGTATTCAAGGCGTGCTACGTTGCTAGAGGCTTCAGTAAGAGCGAGGGTGTTGATTTCTTTCCAACCTTCGCCCCAATCTTGAAGGTGACCACTCTTCGGGCACTGCTTGATGTAGCAGCACAGCGCGAGTACGAACTGCACTATCTCGACTTCTCCACAGCGTTTCTCCCATGCAGTCTGCACGAGCAGGTCTACCTACGCCAACCGCCCGGCTTCTTAGACACTTTCCCTCCTGGGAACGAGTGGCTCCTCCGGCGCTCGGTTTAAGGCCTGCGGCAGGAGCCCTGTTAGTGACACGACACCTTGCGTGCTACGCTAGCAGACCAGCAGTTCATCCCGTCCTCTGCTGACCCTTCTCTCTTCGTTCACTCAGGCCAGACTCCGCTCTACATCCTAATCTACGTAGACGACCTGGTCTTCGCTAAAAAATACAGAGACGCACTAGCCTTCGTGAAGGCCGAGATGCTGAGGAAACACACCTGCACTGACCTAGGAGAGTTGCGCCGCTACCTTGGGTTGCAGATCTCCAGGGACAAAGCAGCGCGCACCATCAGTCTCACACAGTCACACTTGGTGTGCTAGGTCCTTCAGAAGTTCGGCCTTCAGATCTCCCCCGCATAGCCTACACCTCTGCCGGTAGATGACAGGCTGTCTACTCCAGTTCCTGATGAGTCAGTCGAGCCCAGTGGTCCGTACGCACAGCTGGTAGGCTGCCTCATGTACCTGATGACTTGCACTCGTCCAAATTTCGCATACCCCTTTAGCATCCTTGCTCGCTGTGTGGCAACAGGCAGACACCGACCCCAACACTGGACGGCCGCTGAGAGGATTGTGCATTATCTAGCAAGTGCATCGGGCATGGGGCTAGGAGGACGCTGGCTAGTGGTTCTCACAGGGCAGACAGACGCTTCGTGGGCGGACGACGCTGAGACTCTAAGGTCCTTCCAAGGCTACTGCTTTAGCCTTGGTGCGGGTGCCATCTCGTGGAGGTCCACCCACTCGTCTTCTGTTGCCCAGTCAGTTTGTAAGGCTACGATCTACGCTGGTGCCATGGCGGCATAGGAGCTACGCTGGCTGACGTTCTTGCTCACAGACTTAGGTGAGCAGCCTGGCTCTGCCCTGGTCCTGTATGCTGACAACACGGCCATGATCCTCCTGTGTCAGGAGCCTCGACTAGAGGGCAGATTGAAGCACATCCAGCTGCGGTAATTCTTTCTGCGCGAGCTACAGCAGCGCCGCTAGACCCGCGTAGTACACCTGGCCTCCGGTTTCAACACAATTGATGTCTTTACTAAGGGACTTGCGGCAAATGTTCATCAGCGGCATTGTGTGCAGCTTGGTCTAGTTCTAGCAGCTCCTCACTTGCAAGGACCCTGATTGTGACTGACCTTGTGGATCTTGTTCCAGTGGCTGGACTAGTAGTGCCACCCTTGGTTACCCTTGTCTAGCTTGTACTCTTTGCTGACTGGTCTTCAGACCCTTGCCTCAGAGGTTGAACTAGTAGTGCCACCCAAAGTTGCGTGTCTCTTGTCGAGTGACCCGCTGGGTTACCCTTGAAAAGATCCTCGGGGAAGGGCCACAGGTGCAGAGCCTGGGGGGTTATGGGCGCACTTACCCGCTATTTAACAAGCCCTTTTAATCCAGTGGTTAGTGACTGGGTTTCTGACATGGTATCAGAGCCAAAGGTCTTGGGTTCGAGTCCCAATGCTAGGGCTGCAGAGGCGCTCGTGTCTTCCACCTATCCCAGCGAGGGGGGGTGTCGAGTGACCCGCTGGGTTACCCTTAAAAAGATCTTCGGGGAAGGGCCACAGGTGCAGAGCCTGGGAGGTTATGGGCACACTTACTCGCTATTTAACAAGCCCTTTCAACCCAGTGGTTAGTGACTGGGTTTCTGACATCTCTCACTAGGCACTGCCTGTTGTCTAGCCTAGGGGGTGTGTCAACTCAGATATATTTTTTGTTATAGGCTAGATAGGTGCATGCTCCTAGAGAGTACAACACCCAAGCATAAGAACCCCTATATGCTCTTGTAAGTTAATTCCGTTATTCTGAGACATACTTGATCCTTCACCGCAGGAATACGCCCTAAGTGAACTCTAGCATGAGCATTCATGGTGATATATGGGTTTGGGTTGTACTCTCTAAGAGCACGAACCTGTCTAGCGTACTATGTACTAGGTGAAATAAATCGTTTGGTGTTTCAGTAGACTAAGTATAAAACTTCAAACAAGAACACTTGGCAAGTCCTCAAGTGTTGGTCCAGGATCTTTGCTGGAATGGTAGAGTAGTAAGACAACGGAAGTCTTGTAAAATGTAAAGGTCAAGGTTGAATAACCTGAGTACGTGAACTTGTGAGTAATAAAGATTGAATAACCTAAGCACATAATTATGTAGAAAGTCAAGGTTTTTTTTTTTTGGGTTGCGGAGCAACCTATTACGATCGAATTTGCCGATTTTTTTTATTTTTTTTTGGGTTGCGGAGCAACCTATTACGATCAAATTTGCCGATTTTTTTTTTCCACTCAAAATTTTGGAAGGAAAACCTTTGCGCAATAAAATATGACCTAGAGATTTTTCTTTTGGGTTGCGGAGCAACCTATTACGATCGAATTTGCCGATTTTTGGGTTGCGGAGCAACCTACTGCGATCGATTGTAAGGATTTTTTTCAAGTTTGTGATTTGGAAAAAACTACCAAATCTTAAAAAAAATGAATTTCCCTATAACTTTTAGTTTTCCTAATTGATTTTAATCTAAAATGTTTGTCGTTGTTTCCCATTATTTCCAATGGTGTATTTTTGTTATTGAAAAAAATAGGCTATCGCTTCCCCAGCTAAGTGGGGGAAGTCGAAAGCCTATTATGTAGACCGTGAGATAATACATTTTATGATAGCAAGAAAATCATCAGCAAGCAATTTTTTTTTTTTGACAAGCAACAATGCGATTCAGACAACTTGGAATAGAAACTGTGTTTAGCTGACGCCCATAACGAAGCCACTTTTCAGCTTTCACGAGTGCTTCGAATCCTGTATCAAGTATACAAGAATACCAAGGGAATTAGAGGGGATCAGGAAACAAGGCAAGAAGTAGAGCAAGAAACAGACGGTGAACACAAATTAGAGAATGATACAAAAAAGTAAGAAGAAAGGGTTGCAGAAAAAACGGCAAAACTGAAGTCCAAATGGGTTGCAGCTCAATGAATCGACCTAGATCTAGGTCGAAATGGGCTGCAGCCCCCATAAATTGACCTAGATCTAGGTCGAAAAAGGTCGCAATCCCTAAAATCGACCTAGAATGAAGTCGATATGGGTTGCAGCCCTGTAGATCGACCTAGAACTAGGCTGAAATGGGCTGCAACCCCCTAATAACGACCTAGAACGAGGTCGGGCTGCAGCCCAGTAATACGACATAGAAGAAGGTCGAAATGGGCTGCAGCCCAATATCTCCACCTAGAACTATCGAGGTCGCAAAAAGAAAATATGAAATCTGAGGAAATGAAATGCAACCCTTCAGTGACTTGAAAGCCTAGGACGCTGTGAATGACGTACATGTGCTATGAGAGGTAGCTCTACTGAAGAGAATGTTAGGCAAGTGGAAAAGGGGAAGCGAGTTGCTGAAGTTGTTGGACCTTCGTCGTAAAATTACGATTTGATTAAATACAAAGAATCAAATATGACAAGTAGTTTAGCTTAGTCGTTTGAAAGTCGAGTTTGATTTATACGCTCTCGGGTTCGATTTTCGACAAGACGGGATAAAAATGTGTCATACTCGGAAGTTGCCTCGTCAAAAATTCATTTTCACACAGTGCCTCAATTTTCAACTAAATATGTGAAACAACATCATTTGTTCTTGTCATATGGAAATAAAAATCAAATGTTTGTTATGATATGGAAATAAAACATTTTATGTATAATAAAGTCTCATCATGAAATGCTCCGCAACCCTAAGACGATCTCGTCGCCTCTTGTTTTTTTTTTTTTTTTTTTTTTTTTAATAGAAAGGCATTACAAGAATTTATAGCTCTGTGGAAAGTATCTGTTCGTTAAAGCGAGCGTACAGACCAAACTCAAGATTCAAAGGCTTTGAATCTTGAGTTGGGGGTCGCGAAAATCGCGAGGGGCACAAGTGTCGCAAAAACGGGGCGGGCCCCACGCGAAAGGCTAGGGGTCTCGCGACGGCTGTTAATGATCTCGCCAAAACTGGCGAGGTCGCAAGGGTACAGCGGGCGACGCTGCCCGTCGAACACGCGACAGCACTGTTCAGACAAATTGAAACAGTAAAACTCATTTACGGAGAAAAGCACCTACAGTGTTGCTGAAGCTCGTGAAAACGTAGAAACGTAGAAACCACCACAACGCATCTACGTTTACACAAAAACAGGACAACATTTAAACAATGAAGCACACGACTTGAAAATATCAGGGATCTAGTTCCCACTGAGTGCAAAGTCAGGGTTTTTAAACGTACACAAACGAGAAGGGCGCGATTGTCATTTTTATTAGGCAAGAAGCAAGACACACAATGCAGCACGACCAAGGAAACCCCCACCAGATGTCACCTCTCCCCCCCACCAGAGCCCGCCTACCCCTCCCGAAAAACACGGGGAGAGGAGCACAGTGCTATGCTTCCCCCCTCACAGAGCTATGCTTCCCCCCTCTCAGCAATATGCTTCCCACGTCACAGCACTGTGCTTCCCCCCTCACAGCACTGTGCTTCCCCCGTCACAGCACTGTGCTTCCCCCCTCACAGCACTGTGCTTCCCCCCTCACAGCACTGTGCTTCCCCCCTCACAGCACTGTGCTTCCCCCCTCACAGCACTGTGCTTCCCCCCTCACAGCACTGTGCTTCCCCCGTCACAGCACTGTGCTTCCCCCGTCACAGCACTGTGCTTCCCCCCTCACAGCACTGTGCTTCCCCCGTCACAGCACTGTGCTTCCCCCCTCACAGCACTGTGCTTCCCCCCTCACAGCACTGTGCTTCCCCCCTCATAGCACTGTGCTTCCCCCCTCACAGCACTGTGCTTCCCCCGTCACAGCACTGTGCTTCCCCCCTCACAGCACTGTGCTTCCCCCCTCACAGCACTGTGCTTCCCCCCTCACAGCACTGTGCTTCCCCCCTCACAGCACTGAGTGGGAGCAGGGGGTAAGACGGAGTGGGAGCAGGAGGTACGACGGAATGGTTTTAGGAAGGGATAGGCGCGGGGATCATGAGGGGTGGCGTTGGAAGCGGTGGGTACAACAATAAGAGGGGGGAGAGAGGGGGGGGGGGGGGGGGGGAGGGGGACAGTTGGACGGTCGCAAATAAGAAACCAGAGTGAGAAGGGCATTTGGAGGAGTGAGTGGAGATGGCCAGAGAGAGAGAGGCGGAGAGAAAAAGAAAGAGAGAAAGAGAGAGAGAGAGAGAGAGAGAGAGAGAGAGAGAGAGAGAGAGAGAGAGAGAGAGAGAGAGAGAGAGAGAGAGACAGAGAGAGATCGATAGAGAGAGATAGGGGGGGGGGGCGCGAGAGAGAAAACCCGCCTCCCTCCCATCCAGACCCCTACTTCTCCCCCCCTCCCAAGAACCTCCTTTCCCCCGCTGCCATGCCCCTCCTTCCCCCCCTCCCATAGCCCTGCTTCCCCTTCTCCCATAGCCCTCCTTCCCCCCTCCCATAGCCCTCCTTTCCCCCCTCCCATAGCCCTCCTTCCCCCCCTCCCAGAGCCCTCCTTTCCCCCCCACCAGAGCCCTCCTTTCCCCCCAACAAGAGCCCTCCTTTCCCCCCCACCAGAGCCCTCCTTTCCCCCCCACCAGAGCCCTCCTTTCCCCCCCACCAGAGCTCACCCCTCCCCCAACCAGAGTCCACCTCCCGCCCCACCAGAGCCCACCTCCCCCCACACCAGAACCCACCTGGCCCCCCACCAGAGCCCACCTTTGGAAGAGCTGGGGGGATAGAGGTGGGCAGAGCAAGGGTAACGAGGGAGGGGAGTTGGGGGAATGGTGACGTGGAGTAGGCGTGAGAGAGGTAGCCGGTGGGAGGGGAGAGAGGTGCGCAGAGCGGGGGAGAGTGAGTTGGGCTGCGGAGGAGAGAGAGAGGGGCAGAACGCGGGAGAGAGAGAGGGGCAGTGTGAGGATAACAGGGGATATAGGGATATGGTGGGAAGGTTGGGAGGGATAACAGGGGGAGGGGCGGGCGGACAGGGCAAGAGCTTGAGTGAGGGAATGGACCGATGAGCTACGCAAAGGGATAGGCGAGGGGATAGGAAGGGATGGGCGCGGGGATAGGAAGGGATGGGCGCGAGGATAGGAGGGATGGGCGCGGGGATAGGAAGGGATGGGCGCGGGGATAGGAAGGGATGGGCGCGGGGATAGGAAGGGATGGGCGCGGGGATAGGAAGGGATGGGCGCGGGGATAGGAAGGGATGGGCGCGGGGATAGGAAGGGATGGGCGCGGGGATAGGAAGGGATGGGCGCGGGGATAGGAAGGGATGGGCGCGGGGATAGGAAGGGATGGGCGCGGGGATAGGAAGGGATGGGCGCGGGGATAGGAAGGGAGGGAATTGGCGACGGGAAGTCATGGGAGGGCCGGCGAGGATGGGAAAGGGGGTGAGAATGGGTGCTGGGGGATAGCGGAGAAGCGGGAAAGCGGGAATGCGGAAAAGCGGGTTGGGAGGAAAGTGGAATCGGGGAAGTGGGAATCGAGAGAGCAGGAAGCGGGATCCGGGAAGCGGGAGAGCAGGGGCAGCTTGAGTGCAGAAAAGCGGGGAGGCGAATGCAGGCAGATGCAGCGGGCGGGGCGGGAAACGGGGAATGCGGATGAGTGGGAAAGCGGGGCAGCGCTCTTGCAGCTGCTGCGAGGAGCGGGGAGTGGGAAGTGAGGCGACGGGCGAGATATTTGGGCGCACTGGCGAGGAAATATCTTAGGGCTCGCTAATCAGGTGTTCGCGTGGCGAGTGCTGAAATGATAGCGTGACATGCAGCACAGTGGCCAATCGGGTACGAAATCGCTGGTCGCGTGAAGTAACGGAGATGCGGCAGGTAGCTGTCGCGCACAGGATTATGGGAATGTGTAAACGTTACTAATAAGCCGCACCTTTCCAGTGAATGACGAAATAGGAGGTAAGCGCTGTGTTAGGGAGCAAGAATGGACGGGAAGGAGCCATGGCCACCGAGTACAGAGTAAAAAGCAAAAGCTTTGGGTCTTAGTGTGGCGGGGGGAAGAGGCTTCGCTTGTTCCGTCGCATAGCCAATCAGAATCTTCCCAAATCAAAATCGCACCCCCTCCTGCCGATATTTGGTTACCGTGTGTTTTTCGCGTTAGTTTTCGTGCGTCGGGGGACTCAAAACCTTTGACTCTTGAGTTTGGTCTGTACGCTCGCTTTAATGTATCTGTTCGTCACTATCGCGCTATGCGACCTATTCGTCATACTATAGGGTCGCGACTGCTCGCGTGACTTAAGCGGTTCGTTACGCCTATTCGCGTAACTGAAACGATATGCTGACGTAATCTCGAGACCCATGATGCTTTGCTGACATCAGCTCTCGGACCTTTTTCCTTACTGAGAAACTCGATACTGCTAACTACACTGAAAACAGAACTTGCAGGAATGCAAAACTTCATTTACGCCCTCAGTGAACTCTAGCATGAGCATTCATGGTGATATATGTGTTTGGGTTGTACTCTCTAAGAGCACGAACCTGTCTAGCGTATTATGTACTAGGTAATGCTGTGGACTTGTTTTCTTTGGGGGGTTGACTCATTGTGCCTTTGTTTGAAACGTCAGCTCTGGTACAATGTCCCTGTTGTGTCGCTCGTATGTGCGTACTAATGTTAGTGGGTTATTACAGCATCAAGCAACAGCATCCACTAAGGGTGAAGGGCTCATACAGACAACTGGCCTGGAGTTGGAAGCAAAAGTGGGGAAAAATGAAATCAAGTGGAAAAATGGCGTGAAAGGTGAGTCTGTTGGGGCCAGGTAGCAAGAGCAGCATCCAAATCTTCTCCCTGCGCAATCTCCCTCCCTCCCATGTCTGCTCGCCGTGCAGCCAACACGAGAAATGCAGATATTCAGCCACCAAGAAATCGCAACCCACCCGCCAACCAAATGCCATCCAACAAAGAGTCAATTGTCACTTCTACCACACCATCAGGGATGAACCAGAACCAGAACCCGACCCAGCAGACCCCGAACTCATGCTCTCTCTCCTCTCCAGGTGTGTCGCTGGCGACGTGGACCCCTGCTGGCCCACCATATCCCCGCCAACCGCTCGCGACGCCATGACCATGCCCGCCGGGCTTCCCGCGTTCTTCAGCCCTGATCCGCCCAATGTTCTGTGGTACGGGCCTGATCCGCCAAAAACGTCGCCGCCGCCTCCGCTTAGGTGCGCGCCTGCAGCTCCCCCCGTCATGGGGCTCAGCGCCGCGGGGTACTCGCCCATGGACCGACGGCGCGAGGATGCGACGGCGGCCGGCGTCGCGACGGCGGAGCCGGGGGAGCCGCGGAAGCTACGGAACGCGGGGCTGTTGGCGGCGGAGGTGGAAAGGTCTTCCGTTGCGCCGAACTTGGTCATGCGGGAATCCAAGCTGCGGCGGTGAGATTGATCGCCGGCGGGAGAGAATCCGGAGGCGTCGTTAAGTGTCTGAGAAGCGAACAGGAGGGGGGGATGCGGGAGACGGGGAAAGAGAGTCAGAAGGAGAGCAACGACGGACGGGACTAAAGTCGGTAGGCACGAAGTAACTGGCGTAAAGAAATCGTATAACAGAAAGAACAGGTGAAAGAAAGGGAGGTTGGGATTACCAGGTACGAAAGGAGGTCATCATCCACGCCGTCGAATTCGCTCTCCACTTGCTTCGGCGCAGTTTCAGCTGCAGCCGGCGTCGAAGTAGCAGTCCCAGCCTCCGCCTTTTCCACTGGAGCTCCTACCGCCGCCTGTGCGTCCGCGCTCTCGTTTAAATAGTACGTCCCCCCAGGTTGCAACTGGGTGTTGGGGTCGAGTGGCGTCGATTGCTCTGCATCCGACGTGACGTAATAGTTGGGGTATTCGCCTTTCAAATCACCGGCTTTCACCTTGCCCGTGTAGAGTTTCATGGAGCCATCGGGTAGAAGCACGAGCGTCGCTTGCGTCTTGCGATGGAACATACTAGTTAGGCTGACCATTGTGGCCGACTCGCCACTGAGCGACGGAAAATACGACGCACGAGAATCAGCAGGGGGACTGAATACTGAAGCTACTAATATTCTGCTGAAAAGGCTTCGGCTCCCAGATGTTTAATGGTGTGAGGGCGAAATGAAAGCGCTGCGTATCCAAAAAAGGAACACCCTTAGCTGTCACACGGAAGCTGAGAGTTGTCAGTGCGATGGCGACGATTGTAATGTTCGTTGAACACACACAGTCAGATACGCAGGCAGGAAAGAGTGGGGCGTCGTTGAAGCTAGTTTAGTCCCTGGCAACTACCGAGCTGACGTGAAAGAACAGTTGAGGTGGGGATGACAAACGCCGTTCTGAAAGGAAGAGGTTGGCTCGCGTGTAAATTTCCAACCATTTTGCAGTTTCAGCATGGCTGTAGGAGGGCGGGAGTGGCTCGAGTGGCGACGATGATGGCAGCCGTTGGTTGGGAGATTACGAAATAATGAGGGCGTGTTTTTTTCTGAGTCCCGCGCCCGCACCCAGCTTCGCGGTCTCCCGATAAGGTGCCCAGACACAGCTCCGGCACTCATATCAACGGTTCTTGTTCATTTCGGGGTGTACTGGACTGAGTGGCTGGTGCCGAATGCGCTTGTGGTGGACGCGGCATGGATCTGCTGGGGATTCCTCTGGAACGGTGGTGGGAACGGCCCACACGGCGGATTCCATGCAAAACACGAATGCTAGTGGGAACGGCCCATCAAAGCCTATGTTTCACGAGTGTTAGCCGAACCTACACGCTATATTGAGCGGGACTTATATCATTCCTTGAAAGTATATTGGCTAGAGTTTCAGCTGCAATGGCAGTCATCTCCAGTCACTCATTCAATCGACGCACCCCTGTGACAAAAGGGGAGTTTGGCCCTAAAGCACTTATAAATAAGAATGGTGACCCCGAACTCCCAAATACAGACGATTAACAAAGAACGGTAAAGTTGGTGCTAGCTTTGTCCCCCCAACCAGTGTTGCAAATGCTCGGAGGAATTCGTTCTCCTTGTGATGGCACTACGGAGTGCCTCTGCTCTGCCCCTTCGTGTTTTGCGTTTGAAAGTCCCCTAATAGGGTGTCTGACGACTATTCATGCACAGCTGACTCAAATAACAAAAGACAAAGCTTCCCAACAGCCAGCTGTTTCTGTGCCTCCTGGATATCGTTCTCTGCCCCATAACCCCGAACCAGTGGCGTGGAAATGGCGTCGAAATCTTTCAGCCTTTCGCCAGCTCAGTCTCCCAACGAATGAGGCCATCCCCGTGTGTGGTGCTGGTTTTCCTGCCCCGTGATTTGGCTAGGACCCATCCTTCGCTGGCGAACAGCCAAGGACCACACCACACATCCATGAGCTGGACACGCTTCAAATGGGGACCTCAATTGTGGTAAAATCCATCACTGCATGGGTCTTGCACGGAATTTATGTGGCTCAAATGGCACGAGCTCTTGAAAATTGCGACTGTCGTTCGGATTTTCAAGCGTACAGTACAGCATAGTGCACCAAAACACGACTTTCTGCGACCCATGTTTCCCAAAACAGTACAGCACAATGTGCAGCCTAAAAAAATCTCACCCGATTTCTCGTCCCGAGAAGGCATTTCGTCACGTGTCCCACCCCCAATGCATGGACGAACTGGAGGTGATGAAACAACGCGGAGAGCCGCCATAAATGTTTCGAGAGTTTCGATGAAGGTCAACTCACAACAATGCCAAACAACTCAGTAAGAAGGTTGCTAATAGATAACACGGTATTGATGTAAAAAGGCTTGGTGGGTGATTGAAAAGAAGCAACAGTAGGTTGGAAATTCCCATAACACTAGCTTCAGCACATTACGATTTCCCTTACAGCCTGGAAGTGTAATAGCCGGTCGAGGGTTGTTGTGGGTGTCAAATTATATATATATATTTGTTTAGGCTTGGTAGGTAGCTACATTGCTGGATCCACCAGTAGAGTGGACAACCCCCCCTTTTTGTATCTCTTTCTCTTTCTAGTTGACTCCTCTTTTCTCTCGTAACTCTTCCCCCCTAGCTAAACCTCTCGCCCTTTCATGGCTTCCTAGCGCCTACTTAGCTCCTTAACATGGTTTCAGAGCAGGCCCTTTCGCTCGGGCCTTCTCATCACACTTCCGCGGGGCCGTCACAGTCATGTCGTGCTTGTTAAGACTAGAAAGAATGAATAGAAGAAGGGAGAACAGGGGAGATATAGCGTTTTGGTTGTACCCACTAAGAACATACCCTATCTAGCTTATAACTTCTACATGACAATATTTGTATAAGTTGAGAGTGCTGTCATGACGGCTTCGTCGTGCTGCCATGGTGGCTTCGTCATGCTGCCATGGCAGCCTCGACGCGCTGCCATGGCATCGATGCCACGCCATGGTGGCATCGTCGTGCTGCCGTGGCATCGACGCCACGCCGCGGCGGCGTCATCGTGCTGCCGTGGCGTCGTCGACACGTCGGCGCACGGGCGGCAGCGGGCCGCGCACTGCTTTAGGCGCCAGCCAGCACGCCCGCACGACAGCCAGCGCTCCAGCCAGGGCGCCTCGCTGAAGCCACGCCCCCTCCCATGCGCCACCCCTCATTCCAGCCGCAACTGACGATTCCCTTCCCAGTTCTCGCGAGGCCGTGCCACGCCGCCGGGTGTCGCGAGCTTCGCAGTCGCCACCACCGTCATCGAAGCCGCCGCCACCGCCAATGTAGGTGCAGCTGCTCCACCACCACCCGCTCCGCCGTCGCCACTCTCGTCGTCGTAGAAGCCGTCGCTGACGCCGTTGCTGCCGCCCGCCGAGGGTGTCACCGCTTCGCACGAGGGGTAGAAGCCACACCTGCTGCAGGACATGAGGGGTGCAAGGGTTTGGGGGTGTTTCGTGTTGGGTGGGATTTCGACTACCAAGCCTAGGGGGTGTATCAAATTACATATATATATGTACATATATATATATTTGTTTTGGCTTGGTAGGTGTGCTACATTGCTGGATCCTACTGTAGAGGGGACAACGAGCAGTGCAAGCAGCGTCGGAGCGAGGAGGGGGGGACGACGGGAGAGACGACGATGGAGGCAATGGGAGGACTGTAACAAGAGGAGTACGCGAACAAAGGACCATAGGGTGGACACTAGGATGGGGAGAGACAGGACAAGGGGCGACTGACCCAGTGGGAAAGAACAAGGGACTGGGGACGAGGGGGAACGGGGGACAAGTAAGGGGACGGAGGGGATCACGGGGGAAGACGAGCCGGAGAGGAGTCAAGTGGAGGGAAAACGGGCTGTATATAGGGTTACGCACCAGAGGGGGAACGGGTGGGCGGACAGGGAAATTAGGAGCAAGACCAAGGAGACGAAGGGCGGCTGCGCCCGCTGCTGCAACTATTGCTGCGGCTGCAAATGTTCCCTGTCCTGTCCAGGACCTCCAGCAGCTTCGCAGGGCTACAGGCACTCCCCAAAACAGCACCCCCAAGACTAGCACCCTTGGACGCACCACCCACAGAACTACCAACACCGCAGTCAGCACCCCCATAACTCCCACCCTTAGAACCTACACCCCTAACACCAATACCTCCAACACCACCACCCCCAGAATCAGCACCCCCAGAGCCCACTACTCCCTGCTCCTGCTGTAGCTGCTGAGTCTGCTGCAGTGGCCGCTGCTGCTGCTGAGGCAAGGGGGGAGGTGGCTGAGGTGACTTGGGTACCGAGAATGGGGAAGGCGCCACAGGGATTGCAGGCACACCCCCAACAGTTGGGCCCCCAGAGTCAGCGGACTCCCCTAAAGGTGCAACCGAGGGAAACGGAGTGGCGTGGGAGACAGCAGACTGGGCCGAGCGGGGAGAGAAGGGTACGACATGCGGGGCAGGGACAAGGAAGAGAGAGGAAGGAGGCACAGGAGCGCTGCGGTATGGGAAGCGCTGGTAGTAGGGGAGCGTCTCGTCGAGGGTAATATTACGAGAGTGGTAAAAGCGGTGGTGTGACGGGTGGTAAAACATCCAGTCAGAGGCGTCACGCAGAAACCCTAGGAAGACACAAGGAAGGGTGCAAGCTGAGAGCTTGTCCGCACGAGTGTTGCGAATGTAAGCAAAGCTGCCTCAAACCTGGAACGAAGACGCGTCACCAGGAGACCCTAGAGGAGGGTCGGCGAAACCTGTGGCTGCTGGGAGCGCGGCCACATGTTAAGCTGGTGAGCAACGTAGCTGTCATATGATCGAATGAGGTTTGCTCAATCTTGCACTATCAATGAGTACAAGGTGATTTTATACTTCCAGAGTACATCAGGTAACCAGGTTTATCCTATCCAAAGGAAAGAGACCCTTCTAGAAATACAATCACCATGCGTATAGCCACGCGTGGCTATTGGCTTTAAGGGATTACGGCAGGATTACGCTAGATATAGCGCGCCTATAAATCCCGAGCCCGGTCGGTGATATAATCATAATAACAGGATAAACCAAAGGATAATGGAAAAGGAGGAATAGGAAACCAAATGCGATGAGATAAAGACCAAATGAATGAGGATAAAAAGAGGAATGAAATAGAAAGGAAATATGGAAAGGGAAAATTGGTGTAACGGTGCCGTACTCTCACAGTAGCGCACGGCGAATGGCCACAGAAAATGGGGTGCACTGGCATGAACCATGGAGGTGCGAGCTACCTCCAGGATCAGACCGAAGCGTTGCTCAGTGACCCCATTCTGCTGTGGGAGGTCCAGCAGTATGTACGTTTGGCGGATGCCCTCCGCACGAGAAAAAAATCCTAGAGTGCCAGAGGCGAACTCGCCACCACGATCAGAGTGTAAACGACGTACATGTAGGCGGTGGTGGGTGTGAAGAGTAAGAAGCCACGGAAGGAGAATGACAGACACGTTGGCCTTTTGCTCCAACGGGAACACTATGGTGTAGCGCGAGAAAACGTCAACGACGTATAGAAAGTAGTGCTCCTGACTAAGCCCATGGACGGGGGCAGGGCCCCAGATGTCCATGTGCAGCGTTTGTAGCGGTGCTGTGGTAGGAGGAAACGTGGACATGCACATAGGCGATACTGACGTAGGCAGGGCCGGAAGCGACGTAAGGAGACCAGTGACTAGACCGTGCTGGGTTATGCGCCTAAGACGAGTGAGTGCAGGGTGACCTCAGCGGTAGTGCCATAGAAGGGCCGGATGGGCTATGGAGCGATAGGAGCAGGACACGGCAACCGCGGCAGACGCATCGGTTGGCCAAGACTCAATGTGCAGTGTAAAGTGGCCTGACCCTGGGTCACGCTCAAACGTGTCTAAGTGCCGACCGGTGGCTGTGCCTGTGCAAGCGGCGTGTCTCTCGCGGCCAAGGAACGTAGTGGTGTCGCCTTGGTTCGGAAGGTGACCGACACCCACTATGTGAGAGTACGACCCTGTTACACCAATTTCCCCTTTCCATATTTCCCTTCTATTTCATTCCTCTTTTTCGCTCATCTCATTTGGTTTCCTATTTCTCCTATTCCATAATCCTTTGGTTTCTCATGTTATTATGAATATATCACCGACCAGGCTCGGGATGTACTGGCGCGCTATCTAGCGTAATCCTGTCGTAATCCCTTAAAGCGAATAGCCTCGCATGGCAGCAGTTCCGCGCGTGGTAACATTGCCTTCATCCACGGCCAAGCCACGTGGCAGCAGCTCTGCACCGACCTGCTGAAACGTTTCGAGCCGATAAATTCGGGTTTCCTTGCCCGGGAAAACATTCATCGCCATCGACAGTTCGGGAGTGTAGCACAGTACACGCAACAGATGGAGGAATTTTATAACCGCA